GGTGATCATACTGCTTTTTTCAGACTATGGTGGCACAAGATTGGGACGTTGGTTTTCTCTATTACCCGAATTGTTCGGGACTCAACAGATCTGAAGCGGATCACATGTGGAGGTATCGTCGTCACGTGTTAACTGTCATACTAGTTCTGTTATCGATGAACTAAATGGTGGTCACAGTTCTCCTGAGACACACCATGTATCAAACAATCACCTAGGCAGCGTTCAGACTTCGCGACAGCAGAGCTTCGATCGCGAAGTTTGAACGCTGCCTTATGGTTAGAGACACTGATCTTGTAGGGGAACGGTGTTCCAACCAGTTGACTAAGATTAATAGATTATGTTTTTCGAGTAGGGTTTCCCAGAAATACCTCTGTGAAGCTTTTTTTTTCGAGAAGTTCATTTTCATAAAGGAAACTCATGGTGTAGTTTGTGACAGCATGAGTTTCACCATCTTGTAAATGCAGCCTTCTGGATAACAATGTCATTATAGGCCTTTTGACAAACGGATGGAAGAGTCGTCAACTCTCAAAAAAATTCGCGACGACCATTGCAGTGAACCACATGTGGAAATGTTAGACTACTTTGAGAAATTCATGCATTCCTATCCAGGTATAACAGGCTGAAGAGCAATTCTAAAGAACAGTAGCCTCTCCATTTGAGAAATCTTGATGTGACTTAGACTTCCCACACCCGTTCTTGAAGGCAGGCTTCTGAAAATACCGAGGGCTTTTATCACTTAAAATTAAAGATAAAAGCCAGACCTCTTTCGATGATGCTCTCTATCAAGGTTATTAAGCGCTGTTTTTATCAGAAAATTCATCTCTTATATCTTTGCTACTCGTCTTTGAACGACTTTGTAAGGCTATTCATTTGAAGGAGTGCCGAAAATATGTCATGTTTGGTGTGTGTACCTGGCACATGATACGATGAAGGACATATACCATACCGATGAGCAGTTCCTTGAACTTCTTCAAGAGGAACACTGAGAACTTGAATGATGCTTTCCTATTCTTCATGAGCGACCACGGACCTCGAAGTGAAGGAGTGAGTAGCCCCTTCACTTTCGATATGTCACATCCTCTCGGATTCTTCAGGCTCGGTTCCTACTTTGCGACAGTTTCCATCAGTATTTACCACACCAGCGTTCCGAGCGTCCGGCAGTGTCAGTGACTAGGAAAGTATAGAGATCGGTTAGCGTCTGCCACTATCTGCCAGCGTCTGCCAGCGTCTACCAGCGTCCACCAGCGTCTCGAGGGCTAGGGAAGTGTAGGTTCCTATCTTGCGTCTGCCAGCGTCTACCAGCGTCACCGCCATAAACCAGCGACCGAGAGTAGAGACTATGGGGAACTAGGAGGGTAGCAAAGACGTCGTGAAATTGCGGCGTGTGCAAGCGCACTGCACTACCACACTATGACCTGACTAACATAAAATTGCATAATTCATGCTTTAGAGTTGTAGCGTGCGGTTGCACACGCGTCGCAATTTTGTGATGGGTATCTTACGTTCCGCTACCCTCCTTAATCTCCCATATCCCTTCTCGATCGGTCGTAGAACCGCCCAGTGGACGGGCTGGACGCTAGCAGACGCTCGAGATCTACACGATCCAAGACTCTCTCCTTTCTGCCTCGAGAAGTCTAGACACCTCGAGCGGCGCCAGAATCCGTTGCAGCTCATAATCCAATGCTTTTATCTCTGCACGTGAACGTGATTAGCTGATCGCATGGTCGGAGCAAGCGTCGTATGTGCGAGAGTTAGTGTGAAGCTACTCCGAAGAGATAAATGGCACTAGGCATCCAGTCACTATGCCAATCCCAAAATCCTTCTGCTGTCGATAATGATGTGTCATCTCCCAAATGCGCTTTTATTCAACACAGATAAAATTTGGTTCAGTCATAGCGAGGCCCCTTGCATTGTTTTATCCAAAAAGGAAGTAATCTCGAAAAAAATAGTTGTGGATAAGAAAGCAGATGCGCCACCAGAGATTAAAAACATTGAAAATCCGAAAAGTCATCTACATAGGTTTTTGAGGAACAGACCAGAATGGTAAGAGCTGCCTTTCTTCGCAACTCTTTCGGCATGCAAAGTCTACAGCCCATAGCTAATGTCTCAAGGACTAAACCAGACACAAGTAGTGAGTGTTGGGGAGGGAATGCAATGGCTACCTGTTTCGAGCCTCTCAAGCCATCGCAAGCCGATCCAATTGACGTCGACTATTGTGATCGGTGGGGAGGAAATGTCAGAGAGTAGCTATTAGGGGATGCTATTGCGTTGTGTAAAACTTCTCCTCAATACGACCTCCCCCCTTTTAAAAAAGGGTCTCGGTACGACTTCGTCCCGAAAAACGTTAGATGGCAAATTAGATCCTTGAATTGTGAATGTTCACGCGCATCCAGCACGAATTACACAGCGATGGTGTGCCCTAGTAGCTATACTGGTGTTCTCATTGGATCCGGAAATTCCAGTTCATAATCGGAGCAGTGGGCAAAAAAAGTGAAGGTCCCTCGACAGGCTTCATCGGAGACACGCATTCTTTCTTTCTTCCTGACGGAAATAATTATGCTGTGAATCCTCAGTGGTTGAGAAGTTCACATTCTCATCAGAAATACTGAGGATGCTAGTATTTCACAATGACGAATTCTCGGAACATTAGTGAATTTCACTTCAGCAGCGGTTTGGTGGACAATCATAATCTTAAGTTGATGGATGTATTCTGGCATAGAAGTCAATAAGGGCGTGTACCTGAAGAATGTACTGATGCAGGTACTGAAACCTTGGTCGAGTACTACTTCAGGAATCTTCCGCTTGTCCCTGACCAGAAAGCCGAGCTCACAATACGCGTTGTTGGTGATTTTGTGAAGGGCTGTCAAAATCCTTATTCCACCTTGGAGCGGTGGAAGACATTCTTAAGCTAGAGCACTGTATGCTATATATGACCTAAGTGATTTTATGCGTTGCACAAGTTGCTAGAAGCTTCCACAACAAGCGAAAGGAAATCTGCAAAGAAAAGGAGGGGCTAATTTCACGTGTTCTTTCCAACTTCTGCTGTTCCTTCGAAGTTTCGTCTCGCTACGCTGCTTGAATGCTGCAAGAAGACAGGGCAAATTATTTCCCTTTTGTGCGTGTGGACTCTCAAGTAATATTTTTTTGTGCCAATGTACAACTTGTAGTGGAGCTTTTTTTCCTTCTGGGCGTTCCTAGAAATGCGCACCGAAAATGAACTGCGTTTGTGTCAACCCTGAAACAGCCTCTACAACAAATCGTTTTGAAAGTGATCTCCACGACTTGAAAGACTCCCTTGTTGGTTGCTCCAGCTCGCCAGTATCAACCTGATTTTGTGAGAATGGTTTTTGCGGCTCAAATGCACCAACACTTATTTATTAACCTGACTAGTACTTCTATCACAGTTCTACTCCAGAGAATGGTAACCACAATAATGCCTTTTTTACTTACAGATTGAGAAAGTACCTCTCGGACTATACGAACAGAAGAATCCATTCCTTGTTGTATCAGTTCCAAAGCGCTACCGTAACATGGCGATTCATAAGCAACTGAAGGAAGAAATCGAAAGAATTAATGACTTTCTTCGATTTGCATGCCACATTCATGGATATTTTAAAGGTTGGTGTTGTGTTGATGCTTTCGAAGAATTTAATTTGAGAACTCAAAACAAAAAGCAGTTTATCAATAATTTTATCCCTAGGTGATAATTCCTTCTCTAGGAATGAGTGTTTAAGTGTATGACATAAAGTGATGATGATGAGGCCGTACTACTCATTTACTTAAGGGAAAGCAAAATACGAAGATAATTCTCACTAATACTGTCTTCCAGAGCCTTTTCAACTTTACTGCTAAATACGCTACCTCCTTGCGGCAATGAGAACGGCACCGTACTCCGTTTTGACACTATTTCATAGGCATAAGGCATTACAATTTGGTCTGCGCTCTGAATTGATAGCAGGGGTGATATTTAGCGACAACGGGGCAAAAAAGCGAAGCAAAACTGTCAAAAACCTAACTCAAAAAAGGCTTTGTTCTACACGACTCAGAAAGCAATTTCGGACGAGTTTTCCGTTGGCATCGTGCCAGTAACCGCTACGGTAGATGCGGCTGCATGTACCCATATTTACATGCGCCACCGTAGCCGCCTAACAACCCCTTCACTTCCCAGTGTGTATCGCGAGTGAAGCAATGAGAACATTAGCATTAGTCGGATATTTGTGGGCGGGCGGAGGCGAGGGTGTCGGGGTCGGTGTGCTGCAGCATGATAGGGCGCTTTCAGGGTGCCTTCCTCGCGAAGGCGCCCGCAGCGTCTGCTTGGGAGCACCGAATTTTGTGCTGCTAAGCTTATTATTCCTACACGCAATCCCACTTTTTCTCTGTACGTGCCTCGTAGATGGTAGATGTCGCCTCGGTAGATGGTAGATGGTCGAAAGCGAACGAGGAGCTTTGAGCTCCCGCTGATGACAGAATGCGCTGAGGGTTTCTACACTACGTGAATTTCACTTGTAACAGAAAAAAGTGCTGAGAACGGCTACAGTTAAAGTACGGCTACAGTTGTCATGGCGGATTCAGCTGTGTATAGGTGGATGCTATGTGCTGCCTGCAGAGATCGCGTAGCAACGTGTGAGCAATATCCTTATGAATAGTGCATATATACATGAGTTGCTATCCCGCACCAACCGGCCCCAACAGTAGACTTCATGATGTTGAATCACCCCAAATCAGCGTTGGTTCGAATCATCTCCAACCAGGACGAGAAGATTGCTGTACTCTGAATGAGTGGAAAGCATGCTTTAGGGCATGGGTTCTACTCCTCAGAGGTTAAGAAACTGACGCACAATCGCACGGCTTTTGAGCATGTCTTCGATTTGGTCACTTGGAAAAACTCTTGATCTTACTCATCCTGTGATGCGTACAACCTGATAGAAGTGTAAATCCTCGAGCTTTTGTTGGATTGGAAAATAAGGTTGTAGCATTTTCCACAGGGTTTGCTGCAATTATAAGTCAATCTATTCCTTCGCTGCTACTTACCTCCTCCCACCTATCGGCCAATATTTCGGAGCCGTTCCTTCAACATTCCCCCGTCTGGTATCGAAGAAGTTATGAGCCATTTCCAAAGTCTTCCTTTATTGCGAAAGGTAACGGTTGTCATTCCGTGGGTACTAGGTTCGGAGAGCGCGGCGTATGCTGAAGGGCCTCATTCGAGCTCTTCAAGTGCGGCTACGACGACTTATGCAGCGTGTGCTCTGGCATTGTCGTGAAGGAGTATGGTTAGGCCTCGTCATTGGGATCCTTTCAGTCAAATAGCATGTTTCACGCGTTGCAGCTGGGCGACGAGGTGTTTCTTGTTGACAGTGGCATCTGTCTTGAGAAATCACCAGTGATTTGAATTTTCTTGAGACACCCTTGCCCGAATGTAAGGGGTCTACCGCTGCAGGGCGTCATCAGCATCAAAAGCACCACTTTCGAAGTTTGCAAAGTATTTTTGAGCTCTAGACTCGCATATGACACCTTCTCCCAAACCCTGGAAGTGTCCCGGACTGTCTCGACAGCTTTCCGGCCTCGACGAAAAGCGAAGCGAGGAGCAGGTGCCGAAAGTTGTTTTTTCCTCCGGGATATTCCATTTCTGGACCTAAAAGTAAAAGAAAAACACTTTGTACAAAAAAAGACTAGCATAATTTTGTGAAGCAAACAGAGCTCTATCGAATGAGTGTTAAAGGCAGAACCCGCAATTACTCGCCATCCCGGATAGTGGATTAGGGGGGTTCCATGTAGATGACAAGGCGTTGAGTAACTCGACAGGGAAG